TATGTTTCCATAGCATCAAATTCATTATCTCTTTTCTTTGTAATGGATTATCAGCCAAATACCTCTCTCCGTTTAAGTCTCCTCAATAATAAACCAAACCTAGATCTGGTTCTTGAACCTTCTTCTTCTTCCTCATCTCCCCACAGTCCATCTGAACTCCGGGTTTTCTCTTGTAATTTTTGCGAAAGGAAGTTCTATAGCTCACAGGCACTAGGAGGGCACCAAAATGCTCACAAGCTAGAAAGAACTCTGGCCAAGAAACGCAGAGAGCTAAGCTCGGCTATACGGGCTCAAGGAGGATCTAGTCCTAGAAGAGGACCCAACATCAGTGGTTCGAGCCATGTTCATCGTGTGCAGCCTTCTCTTGAAGCATATGAACATGGTCATGCAGGCATGTTTAGTAGTGAAATGGGGTGTAGCAGGAGAGATTTGAATTATAGCTCTAGAGAAGGGATGGATTCTTGGTCCAATAGACACATGCCTGAAATTATTGAAGATGAGTTTAGTCAGCTCGACCTGTCTTTAAGGCTTTGAATTGCATCTTCGCCCCCCCTCCCCCTTCTTTTTTTTTTTTTTTTAATTATCATAAATTTTCATGAATTCTCTATTTTATAATTTGGCATAATTTAAACTGTAAAATAGTTTTTTGAATTTTTATTATAATATATATATGTATGATGTGCAAAACATTTCAATAAATAAGTAGTGAAGGAAGGTCGAGTTTGTGAAAAAAAGAGAATTCATTGAAAATGGGCACATTTTCATATTCCATAAATAGGAAATTACTGCTGATTGTGTTAGTTTTCTTTTGTGTGAATCAAAATATCCATTTTCTCGGTTAATTTGTAGCAATATACAAAGGTTTTCGTGTGCATATTCCACTGGGCCTAGCTCAATCTCTTAGGACATTTTCTCCAAGTGGCCTTCATGAAGCTGTCCCACGTTAACCGTAATCCACTAAGGCCTGTTCAAACTTCAAAGTAAAATCTGGTGTAGGCCCATTTTTCTGGCGTTTGAATCAAGGGTAAACTTGATTTCATGGAACGGCATCCTATCCCTGCATCTTGCAAGGCCTGGGTTCTGGGAACGTCCATTGGTAATGATACATGGAATAAAGCATGGAAACGCTCTGTCTGGTTTTGGAACTCCAATTTCGATACACTGTTTGGTTTTGCAAAAATAAATAGATTCGAAATGGAATCAGATGCAACACAATTCAATATTTTATACTATTTGCCACTTGATCCTGCAAGTAGAATTACATATACCTTACAGGTTTAGATTCAACCCATAGTCTTTGCACGCTAACAAAATTCACCTACGTATTTTGCATAAAACATACACAGAGTAATTTGTTGAGGGGAAACATGATGGGCCTAAATTGAGGAACCTATCACTTTCTCATGATCCTTCTGAAGCATGAAATGTTTTGGAGAGTATAGCCTAAACAAGTTGAAGGCAGAGATGGAAGCGACCATAACCAGCATGAGCGATGCTATGTAGGCGCAGCCTAGAGCCCCACCTATTTGGTAACAGAATCTGGTGAATTTGTTGCATAATTTCATCCACTGTAGGCTTTTTTCCCCTGTTACGGCCGGAAGAGCTTGCGCCAACGCCGCTGAGGTTGTAGCAAACACAACGTACGCTGTTACCTATGGAACAAGAGAAATTGTTGATTTCCCCCTTTCATGGAAACATGAAAATTGTTTAAATACCCTGTTTCTTGGAACTCAAATGTGATCCATTTCAATAATTTTCATGGTCGATATGCTCGAAAAATACCTGGTCCAAGAAGTAACATAACCAAGCTAGATATCTGTAAGATTTCTTGGAGATTCCTTCAAACCAAGCTTGGAATGAATACCTGCAAAGTTGTAGAAGGTTGTATGCTGCGGTGATTGAGATGACATAAACCAAACCTCTGCCAAAAAGAAACAAGAAAAAAAAAAAAAATCATCAAAATGTATAGTCAGAATGAACCAAATTGAAGATCAGATGTTTGAATATTCAATTTAAAGAATTCATCAAAATGCATAATTACGCATGAAACTTTTAAATTGAAGATTTGATGTTTAAATCTTAAGATGAACGAGGAAGAATTTAGAAAACGCAAAAGAGTCTTCTCTATTATATATTCCATACTCAGATGTTCCGATTTTTCGAAGAAAAAAAGAAAAGAGAGTATCTCCATGCTTGAAAGAGACAGAGGTCTTACACGAAACTCTTCAGGTCAGTGAAGGAAGCCTTTTTCTTAAGGAAGAAGATGAGCTTTGTCTGAGTATCTAAGGCAACTATAAAAGCTGTCAAAACCAAGAGGAATATTGCAGTGAGCCTAAGAAGAGCCTCCAATTTGGGCTTATTGAATTCCATCCTGTAAACTGAAAACGTATGGCTCAACTTCTTCTTGTTTATGGCATAAGGTGGTACTCTCTATTATAGACCCGAGTTGCCTAAAGTGCGCTCAAGCATAATTTCTGGCGAAGAACCGTCCACGATGATACAATTAAGTATACCCCTAGAAATTGATTTTTTTTTTTATTATTATTATACAATAAGAGATATTAATGATCTATTGATCTAAATAGAGAAAATTTGGTTTGCTTAAATAAAATTTCAAATTCTAATCTTTTGAATGGAAAAACAAATGTTAAGAGATTTTTCCTTACAAGTCCGATACAATTTGATTATGAATTAGTTGAGATTCGATGTACCTATTAGATATCAAGGGGATTAGTAAAAAATAATAATAATAATTCTCTCTCATTTTATTACTTATTTTATTTGCATATTCTACTATATATTGGAATTTAAAATTTTTTATTTTTATTAAAAAAAATTATTACTAAATTAATTAGGTTATTGATCCCAAACATTGATTGATTAAGTTGTATGATTTGGAGCTCATCTAACTTAAAATTATATTTATTAATAAATAAATATTATTTTGTAAATTAAATTTAAAGTTTAAATGTTGAAATTAATACTCAAATAAATTAGTTTTTCTACCATAGCAACGCGGTTGATGTGGGAATTGTGTATTTAAAATCATTTAAAAGAGACATCAATTTAAAGCTGTAAGAGAACTAATTAAGAGATATTCAATCCTTCAAATAAAGAAAGAAAAAAATTGTGGCTAACCCCATGCATTCCGCAACGTATGAGCTAGGGAAACATAGCCATCGACATTTCCTTTTCCCTTTTCTTTTTGGCCACATTGACATTTCCTTTTCGATCATTAAGGTTTTGGTTTATACACATTTTGGAAAAACTTGACCCTCTAATTTTGGTTTTTTTACTTCAAAAAAGAAAATGTAAATGTTAAGTTATATAATAGCAAGTATTTACAGGCATATATGTTTATCCTAGATGTTTTAAGGCTTATTTGAGAAATTTTCATTTTGAAATAAGGTATGCTTTGTTTATTTTTAATAATCTTAATTTAATTTTGTGACTTTTTAAATATAAATTTTATATAAAAATTTAATAATTTATATAAATAATAATTTTTTTAAAAAATTTATATATAGTTTTTGTTGAGTATTTGATAAAAAAAACTTTTAATTATTATTATATAATATGTTAAATTTTTATCTAAAATTTATATTAAAAATTAAAAAATTAAATTAAATTAACTAAAAAATGAAGAAATAAGGTAATTGTTTTTGAGTCAATGGATGGGCCGGGCTGAATTATAAAGTCAAGCGTTTGAACGTTCCACGAAACTTAGATTTAAGCCCCCAAATTATCTAAGTGGCATACAAGTTCCCAAGTTACATAGGAGCAAGATATTAGCTTTTATTTAAGAAAAATAATAAACAAGATCAAAATTGGAAATTGAAATGTAGGGTCAATAACATGATATAAACAACATTAATTAAAATATTAAAATATTAAAATATAAAATTTATATTATTTATTGATTTATTTTTTTATTTTTTTAATTCATAATATTATTTATATTAACTTATTTAATAATGTGACTTAATTGATCTCAAATCTTGATCCTTCCTATCATTACTCTTTATTTAATGGAACCGTTAGTTTTCCACAAGTTAAGCTGTTAATTAATCTGGTTGGCTTAGTTTAAAAGGTTCGAATGTTTGAATAGGTAAATATTAGGTTTTATGATTAGCATTGGATATGGCTATACTTGTTATTTATAAGTACCTTATCCGTTTAGATAAGTACTGTATTCAAACCATAGAAAAAATGAATAAGTAATAAGTGTGAAAATAATATAATTGTAAATATTAGGTCAAATAATAAATATAAAGGTTCAGAACTGTTTATCTAACTTATTTAATCGATATAAAAGTTCAGAACTGTTTCTCTAAACTATTTAATCGATATAAAGGTTCAGAACTATTTATCTAACTTATTTAACCGATTTATTTAATTTACCTATTATTTACTTGTATAATTGAAATTTTACATATATTTATTGTACTTAATATCTATATAATAATAATAATTTTTAAAAATAAAAATAATAAAATATAAAAAATAAAAATAAAAGTTAAGTAATGCTAATAAGACAAACAAATGACATGCACAGCAATAATAACTTGTATAAATAATAAAATTTAAACCAAACATATAACACATATAACAATTGTATCTTATATTGGACTTTTTATTTCTCTAAATATATAAGTATATACCTATAAGTTATCTTATACTTATTAGGTTAAACATCAAGTATATATAGATCTTTGAGTATTTGGGTAGATATCAAGTTTAAAAAGTTATACTTAAAAAATTTTAAATTAAGTATCAAAAATCATTCTCAATTTATATCTGTAAAGGCTCACCCTAATTTAGGATAGTCTTTCCATCAAACCGGTGCTTTCTTTGTGGATAAGCAATCTATAAACTAAATTCCTTGTTGGTATGGCCTGTCCTCGAGCTAGGTAGTCTCCTCTTACGCTAAAAATTCTCCGACACATATTTGATTAGAAGCCAACTTTATTAAGAAGTTTTTATTAAAAAGTATTATATGAATAGTTAAAAAATATTATACTAAAAGTTAATAAATTTTGTGATAAAGTTTTGTTGAAAATCTATTGAACTTTTTAGTGTTTAGTAAAAAGTTGACACATGAAAAATTGCTATAAAAGTTGTCAAATGGGTTCTAAATAAGAAAAGTTGTTAAGAATTTAAATAAATAAATATATATGATAAGAAAAATATATAGATTAAAAATTGTGTTAGACAAAATAAAAACTAAAAATATTATTTTTATATTTTTTAATTATAATATTAATAAATAAAAATACATAAATAACTTTATAAAAAATAAAGTTTCCTTTAAACCTAAAATACTCTTAATGACATAAAAAAAGGGGATTAATTTTACTACCATATTCCTTTAACTTCTCAAAATTTAAACAAGATTTATTTTTTTTGAACTGTAAAATTTAAACAACATTAGTCTTAAAATTTAAACAACATTAGTTCTTAAATTTTACAAAATTTAAACAAATTGCCCACCTTTAATTATAATTTAGCCAGGGGATGGGACTTAAATGACCCCAAACCGACGACTGATGCAAAACGCCAAAAATTCCTTTCAATTTCATTTTTCACTGGAAGGGTGACTTTGGATTCCTGCTAAGAGTTTTTTTATGTAGTCAAAAAATATATATAGGAAATAGTACCTATCAATTTTACCTCTTAAAGATTAGGAAAAAAATTATTTTTAAATTATGTTATTTTAATAAATTTTTATTGAAAAAAACTAAACTATCATATTTTTAAAGCATGCATTAAAGTAATTTTGTTCTTTTTCCTTTTAATTTTGTAGAGATAAGGCGGACAAGCACTAGCCATATATATATATGTATTTGATAATTTTTTTAAAACTATCTTTTTAAAAATTATTAAAAATTATAATAGATTGATAATAATTATATATATATATAATTAGAAGTTTTATTTTAAAGTTTTTTAATTATGATTTTCACATATAATATATAATATAATTATAAAATTACCAATTAAAACCCAATTTCATTTAATTTAATTACATCATAATTTATAATATTTTATTTAAATTTAATCTCTCATTTATTTAATGATTTTATAAAAAATTAAAAACTCATTTTCTCTTGTGACATTTAGAAAAATATCCATTGATTATAAAAAATCTAAATTATTAAGAAATAGTAAATAGTATTTATTTTAATAATTATACATCATATGCTAA